GTTAGAGCTAGGGTAAAGAAGGAAAGAAAAGAAGCTAGGCTACTATACCTTATATAGTAGCCTTTTATATATATTAGTAACTATATTAGTAATAGTTAGAGTTTAGTAGCTATTAGTAATACTAATTATAGTAAGCTTATAATTTAACTTGCCTAAGGGGTTATTTTTAAAGCTAATAAAGCTAGATTTTTAATAAATTATTAAACTATAAAGTAATTAGATTTAGTATTTACTTTTACTACTTTTTATATAATAGAAAAGATAACTTATATAAATATAATATTAAAAATAAGCTTACTTAATAAAGTAAATCTTAATATATAGTAAATAAAGCTAGAAATAACTATAAAATAAGTTAAGAACTATTAAAAATAATAATAGCTTTTATAACTCTTATTTACTATTATTTAAGTATAGTATTCTAAGTATAAATAAGCTTTATTAAAAAAGCTAAATAAAGTTAAAAAATAAAATTTATATATATAATTATATAGAGTATTCTTAGTTATTAACCTAAATTAATTAGTAAGGTTATATAACTAATTCCCTTTACTTAAAATTATACCTATAAGTAACTAATAATATAATTAATACTCTTTTAACTAGGTATATTACTATTATAATAGTATTTAATTATAAAGTAATTTTACTTTAAATTTATAAAGATTATTTAATTTAAAAGAGTAAATAATAGTTTAATTTATCTTTAACTTAGATTTATAAGAATTTCCCTTATAACTATGTTTTATAAAAGAAATAGCTAGTTCTTTACTTACTAATTGTAATATATTACTTATTAGTAAGTACTAAGCTTATAACTTTATAAAATAATAATTAAAACTAAAGATATATATTTTTTTTTAAATATAACTATTAAAGAGCTAAATATAAAGATCTAACTATTATTTATAGCTAGTTTAAGCTTATATAAAAATTATAATTATAAAGTATAGTATTTAACTAGGTAATATCTAGAACTTTAATAAAACTAGCTTTATAATAGGCCTTATATAGTTTAAAATAGCTATTATAAAAATAAAAAGATAAGAAAAACTAAAATTAATTTAGCTTAGAAACTATAAATAAATTACTATAATTTTAGTAATTAATATAAAAGGTTAATTAATCCTATTATTTATTATTAGTTTAGGCTAATATTACCTTATAAATTAATACTAAGAATATAACCTCCCTAGTAATTAAGTTATTATAATAAGCTAAAATAGATAAATAAATAATAAGCTAGATCTTAAGTAGCTAAAGTACTTTAATTAATTAATAGTAAAGAAATTAGTTAATTTCTATTACCTTTTAGTTCTTAATAGTTATAAAAGTTACTACTTAATTAACTTTAAAAGATATTATTAAAATTATAAGATTATTATACTTTATATATTTACTTATATATTTTACTTACTTTAACCTTTTAATATTAAGTATTTTTTAGTACTAAAGAATATATATAGTTAAGAAATAAAGTATTTAATTAAATACTTTATAGCTTATATTTTAAAAACTAAGTTTTTCTTTACTTTTTATATTACTTTTTAAGCTACCTTTATAGAAAGTAATATCTAGAAAGCTTTTAAAAGAGCTAGACTTTATTCTTTTAACCTAGAAACTATTATATTAAAGCTTAATATATAGCTATAAACTTTAATACCTTTTAGAAAAGTAATTAACCCTTTTTTTCCTTAAACTTTAAAGACCTTAATAATAGTAATAGAAACCTAATCTTAGTTTAAATACCTTACTAAGTAAATTAAATAGTATTATAGTAGCTTACTAAAGTTAATTATTAAGGTTTTATACTATTTTTTTAAAAAAATTAAAGTAGTAATATATAAGATTACTTTACTAATAGTAAAAAATAAAGAACTTTAATAAGTAAATAAAATACTAAGCTAATATTATAAATAGAAAAAGATTAAATTATAAAAAAAAGAAGTAATAACTATAAAGAAAGTATTGTAAGTAATTAATTAAATAGATATTAATATATAAGTAATAGCTAAATTATTAAGAAGTAGTAAGTAAAGGAAGTTAATTAAACTAAGTATTTAATACTATAGTATATATAGTAAAACTAAGTATAATATAAGGATTTGTAAAGTAGTTCTAAAAGTATTTAGAGAAGAGTATAGTAACTAATTTTAATTAATTAAATAAATTATAGGAATCTTATTACTGTTAAAACACTGCGTTACTTAACGCAAGCTATAGCTATAGTTAAGGCTAAGATAATTACGTAATTTTAGTTATGTAACTAGATTAATTAAGACTATAGCTAAGGTAAGCTAGACTTTAACTTTTTATTAACATAGTACAGAATGCAAATATATCTCTCTTCTAGAAACCTTAACTATTTAAATTTTTCCCCCCTAGAACACCGTATACTAATTCTATTATAGCCTATTTATATAGTTAACTATTATCTTTACTTAATCTTCTAGAATAATAAACTATATATAGTAAATAATCTAGCTACAAAGGTTAATCTTTATAAGGAATTTCTTCTTATTATTATTAGGTTCCTCCTTTATAGCTAGCTTTCTTACTAGCTCTTCTAATATAATTAATTTAGTAATTAGAAATAAGGTATAGTCTATATCTATATTTTACTAGATTAGCTAAAGAAGCTTACAGCTAAAGGTAGCTAGGTTAACTCTATATATAATAAGGTTAGGAAAGGGATTAAGGACTAAGTCTATAGTAGCCTATAATATATATAAGGTAGCTACTTTAATCTCTGTAGTCCCTAGGTATATATTATTATTACAGTAGTAATCCTTTATTAGGAGAATACTATAGTACTTAGCTAGGATTTCTATAACTATAAAACAGGTTAGTAATATAGATTAATAGGTAAGGGTTTAATAACTTACTATATATAGGTTAAAACCAGAATAAAGGAGAAAGGAAGGGAGGCTAGGCTACTATACCTTACATAGTAGCCTTTTGTATACATAAGTAACTGTATTAGTAATAGTTAGAGTTTAGTAGCTGTTAATAATACTAATTAGATTAAGCCTGCAATTTAACCTACCTAAGGGGTTATCTTTTATGTTAATAAAGCTAGATTCTTAATAGGAATCTTATTATATAGATAATAAAGGATATATAGAAAAGTGTAATACTTACTTAACTGTAATACTTGCTTATTATATATATTAATTTAAAATAAAAAGAAATAAAAAATAATAAACTTAATAAGATAAAACTAATAAGACGAGACTTAGTAAAAAGAGACCTAGCAAGAAGAGAAGATAGCTTGCTATTTAGTATTAGAGTCTTGTATATCTATCAGTGTACTGGTGGTGGTACATTGCTTGAGTCACAGTGCGCACAGTAAACTACGGAAGAGCATAAGACAGAGCGTGCAGTGTTAGCCCCACCCAGTGAGAATCCTCTCTCTACTGGTCTACCGTATCTAACAACCAGTGCTTACGTACCTCATCCTTGTCTCGGTAGGGCATGTCTGCATCCTTTAAGTGCTAACATCTGTGTAAGTTATTAAAGCAAATAACGCCCACTGACAAGCCATATGCTGAGCTTCCAGGTAAATGTGGTTTTATTGACAGTGCGCTCTCTCGCTAGATGCCTGTGCTTCTTCTTGCAGTACTTTGTGTGGATTCTCCTCCTCATAGGCAGACATCCATCTGTATTTGTGCTGTCTTGATTGACCATCACTGGTGTAGTAGAGTATCAAGCATCCGATCATTGTGTTGAGACTCATTGAGGTACGCGACGTCACGTCATCAGTACTCTTTTCAATTGGTAACTACTGCAACTGAAATAATTTATGTACACCTGATTTGTTGAGATTTGACTTCACTGGAATAGGTTGCTGTCGATTGTAACTTGAAGAAGGATTTAACCCTGGGCTTACAGTTTAAAGAGGAAGATAGGTAAACTAGAATATTACAACCTCTAATAGAAAATAAAGTTCTCTGTCTAGCTTATATGATTACATGTAGACGTGCATTCAGATAACAGTAGACTCCCTGATCAGAATTGGTAGATTATTCGCTGTCGCATAACACATGCAACTATCTACGCCTTTAGTGTGGCACCATGCTGTGTACTGTCGGAGTGTCGGAAGTCACCCCGGACAGGCCCAAGCTGTCAACAACCAAACGGCTCTCAGGCTAGCCAATCAGGTGCTGCATAAAACTAATTCACTTGTTGTAGTAACCGCAATCAATTATATACAGCTCCATTTTGTTGTTTATCAGTTCTTAGGCTCATGGAGTCTCTGTATGCCCAATAGCTACTGTTGCCTGGAATATGAAAGACTAAAACATGGTCCAAGTGGCTGTACAATTACGGTCTTATCAATCGAAGTTCTGGTATCATACTGAAGTATGAGACGTACGTCCGCATCATTCATAGTTCACGAATAACCGCCTCAGATATCTGATATTCCTCACCCAACCATTTGGCAGACACTGCAAGCTCCCTGAGATCTAAATTATATCATTTGTTCACCAGATACAGAAACGTTGTAAAGTTGTGCCAGATCTGTCAATCTGCAACAGTGTGCAGGGTAGGCACATCTGCCCGGCTATACACCGGAACAAGGCACCAAGGCACCAAATCTTTGCCGTCATTGTCGGCATTCTTCGTTATGCCTTAACCTCCATCAAGACGGCCAGCGCAACAACGAACCCCTCGAGCGAACGCCAGACGGCAGATATCCCCGCGAAACCCGACCAATTGCCCGATAGCGAGGAGCCTCTCTCGACTGGGCCCGGTCACGCGTGCTCTCACCACCTAAGAAACCATGTCGACGCGACGAGCTACTCTGTCAGTAACAATCACCTCCTCTCAACCCGCTAGACCAGCGATTGCCGTGTCCTCCGAGCTACATGTGCTAACTAGCATCAATTTCAGATCGCTCTACCGCCGCTCATTGAAGCTGGCGCTGGATTGGGCTGTCCATCGACACCTGTGGCGTGGCCAGGCTCTGTATATTCGCTCACTATTCGAGGCCAATCGTAATGTCACCGATCCCCGGCATCAAAGGGTTAGTCCACGGTTTTCGATTCGAGGATGAAACAGGAGCTCATTCTGCTATACAGGCTCTTTTGACCGAGACGGAGAAGCTGCTAGAGAGCTGGAAGCACCCCGATCCTTACACTCCTCCAACAGCCCCTGGAGGTAAAGTACACCAGCGAGCATATGCGAGCGAACTTCTTCAGCATGCTAACGCCATTCTGCAGGTTCCAAGTACGAGCGAAACCTCCCATCACCCGTTCTCGACCGTGAGTATCTGCCTACAAAGCCCCGGCCATATGCAACCCAGAAACTGATAACTGGACAGCTCCCCCGCACCCCGTCAACCGACACTAAAAACGAGACTGGATCATTTGGGCCGTATAAGGAGATATATGTACATAGAGGATATGGATCAACTCGAAGGGTTTGTAGCATGAATCAAATGAAATTTGGTCAACCAAATACCGATGCGGGACGAGCAAAGTCAGCAAACAATCATTTTGTCGATCATTCCATCCCATTACGAGCACTTGACGGAAAACGATAACTTGCGAGGTAAATGAACAGCGACTTGCATTGATTGCTAGTCAAGTGTCCCAACCATGGGAGTGCATTTGCTAACAGCGAGTTTCGTTGTTCAAAAGGCACGAATCCAACCATACATGACTAGTCAGCTCGAGTGCTTGCCTGTTGCATTGATTACTTGAATACAATCACTACCAATGGATTGTTGTTGAAAGTCGCATGAGAAACATCACAAGTGGAAGATGAAGTTGATCTTTGAAGTATTCTTATTTCATGACCATAGCCGTGGGGGATTATTGTACAACCCTAACGCGCGAATAAACTGATGAAAAGCAACCGTGTAAACCCTTAAACCGTGACCCCTTTGTCATGACAACCGAAACAACCTGCCATCGCATGGAAAAACAGAACCAAATGACCCGATTACAGCTCCTGGCTCGCGTTCTTACCAGTCTTGCCTGTCTTCTTGGGCAAGAGGTCTGTGAAGTGCGTTAGTACGAGTAGAATGCGGGATAGCACAATGAACTTACTCTGGTGAATGTTGGGGAGGACACCACCCTGGGCGATGGTGACGTGACCCAAAAGCTTGTTCAACTCCTCATCGTTTCGAATGGCGAGCTGAAGATGACGGGGAATGATACGGGTCTTCTTGTTGTCGCGGGCAGCGTTACCAGCCAGCTCGAGGATTTCGGCAGCGAGGTACTCAAGGACGGCAGCGAGGTAGACGGGAGCACCGGCACCGACACGCTGAGCGTAGTTGCCCTTTCGGAGAAGACGGTGGACACGACCAACAGGGAAAGCGAGACCAGCCTTGGAAGAACGCCTGAGATGAAAGTGTAAGCCTGTGATCAAATGGAAACGCGACCAGAGCGCGTTCAAAGGCGAAAGGAGATAAAGACTTACGATTGCGCGTTCTTGGAACCAGAGGCCTTGCCGCCAGACTTGCCGCCGCCAGTCATTTTGAAAGATGTGAGGTTGGGGGGGTTGTGTTTAAAAAAGTGAGTAGAAAAGTCTGAAAGACAGTGAGATGGATGAGAGTGTCGAAGAGCTTGGTTGTGATGACAATTGGTGGATGGGAAGTGGAAGAGATAAACGTTGGCGGGGGACGTAGAGGTTAAGTACTTTTCGCGCGTCAGAGCTCTGATCCCAGATCACTCGCAGCTAGCAACGCGCTTTGGCGCTAGCCGGATGTGGCAAAATTGAGCAGGCAAGCTGTGCATTAAAAAATAAAATCGACCCCCCTGGCGCGCTCGCATCATAATTGGGTCCCCTTCCAATTACTCCCGTCTCCCCCCGGCGAAATAATAAAACCGACTGGGGACCTCTTTGCCCTCGCGCTCGCGCTGCCTTTTTCCCCTTCCCAGATCACTTGCGCGTTATTCTGCTCTTGTTTTTGCCCTGCTCGCACCACAAGATTTTTTCGCCCTGGGTTTTCAATCTTCTTCCTCTGTTCATTTTTTTCCTCCTGTCCAGAGCGATTTAATGATTGGAGGACACGTTGGGTACTTGCAATCAGTACTCTTTCCCGGTACTTTGAGTCTCCCAGGTTTGCGCTCTTTGACCACGTCCATCTCATCTCGTTTGAGCTGTTTTGGTCCGGTTGCTCAGTTGTTGCTCAGTCGACTCCTTTTACGTGGGTTTTTTGAACTTGATTCACCCACCTGGTCCGTTTGAAGTTATTCTTCTGGTTTGGTCTCGACTTTGACCTTTCTTTTTGACCTATTTTGGTCCGAAATCCATTCGGTTTTTGAGGTTTGAATCATGTATGACATATCAAGGCACATTTTGCATCTTTTTTCCTACTTGAACTTGACCCATATCCACCACTTTATGGTGTATATGACCTTAAAATCTTCCAAATTTAGTACTTTAGATACAAATGAACTTCAAATTGGCTTCTTGAACCCCAGATTAAGGTGCTGTGACGTATATAGCATGTGCAGATGGTCCACAAATCGATTTCCCCAGCTTTTTGATATCAGATCTTGTCGAGATCCGTCTCAGGGACGACCACGACGGAGCCAACAGCCCTACGAGACGCGGCCTTCGGTACTCGTACGGCTGGAGAATGTGGAGAGAAGCAACGGAACGGGAGCTTCTGGCGTCGAGAAGCCGGAAGCCGAGTGGTGATGCGTCGCCGCAAAGACGGGTCGCAGCCCGGAGTCTTGGATACGGAGCGGACGCGTTGATGAGAGCGCGGGTACGCAGAGCAGGGATAGAGAGCCGGACTTGTGCTTGTGCAGAGGGTCCAGAGCTGTTACATATCTAACTAATGTACGGGTTCAGATCTTGTGGATTTGATGATTATCACGTCAAAAATGGAGGAAACACGGTCAATACGACAATTTTAGATGATATCTACGGAAGAAGAGGTCCATTTAAGCAATATGTTACAACATGGAAGCATGTATAGGTAAGTGAAGTGATATGTAAAAGGAAAGAAGTGAAAGCGCAGAGGAAGAATGACCCGGGTTGAGACGCGAGAGTTCGGGACGTGTGTGGGTGATGGTGATGGAAGGAGAAGAATTGAATGAATGGAGCAAGTCGCGATGAGTGTATGGATTTACTAGGACGCGAAAAGCATATGCTTGCTTGCATCAAAAGATGACGGAAAGGAAGTAGCGGGGCACGATTTAAAGCTGGCAGGGACAACGGGGCCAATTAAAAAAAAAGAACCATCATCCTTTTTTTATTTCACCAGCAGCAACGGAAAAGAGGGGCTGGCATGTCCCTCCCCAGCAGCCCAGCCCAGATCACCTCCACCAGCCGCTAGCAGCAAGCACGCGTGCGCACGCCCCCCAGGCAATCAGTAACCCGCTAACACCGACACGCGCCCAGCTACAAAAACCCAACCCACCCCCCGATCTTCTGGTTTCGCCATCAACTTCCATCTCACAACAGCATCTCTTCGCATTACCACAACTACGAGTTTATACTCAACCGAATCAATCAGCCACTCAACTTCTTTTTTCACCAAACCTCTCAAATCTTTCGAAATGGCTCCCAAGGCTGCTGACAAGAAGCCCGCCTCCAAGGCTCCCGCTACTGCCTCCAAGGCTCCTGAGAAGAAGGATGCCGGCAAGAAGACTGCTGCTTCTGGTGACAAGAAGAAGCGCTCCAAGTCCCGCAAGGAGACTTACTCTTCTTACATCTACAAGGGTGAGTCTCAATCCGCTTTCAATCGCGCTTCATCGCGTGTCGCATCCAAACGCGTCATACTAACTTCACATCTTCAGTCCTCAAGCAGGTCCACCCTGACACTGGTATCTCCAACCGCGCCATGTCCATCCTGAACTCTTTCGTCAACGGTATGTCTTCACGATCCATTACTTGGTATACTTGTTCTAACTTGTGGTTTAGACATCTTCGAGCGTGTCGCTTCTGAGGCTTCCAAGCTTGCCGCCTACAACAAGAAGTCTACCATCTCTTCCCGAGAGATCCAGACCTCTGTCCGCCTCATCCTCCCCGGTGAGCTTGCCAAGCACGCCGTCTCTGAGGGTACCAAGGCTGTCACCAAGTACTCTTCCTCGACGAAATAGGTGGTTTGATAGCTTGATTTGTTTTGGGCATTTGGTTTTTCACGCGTGGCATCAGGGTGTCATGAATCTGAGGTTTCACGGGGATCCAGCCCTGTTTTAGGGGCCTCATAATGCGTTACGGATGGTTTTGTTTTTTTATCCTGGGGGCAATGTCTTCACACACGGGCAACGGGGTTCGCGGTTGTACAATAAACATCGAGAATAGGGTCTCGATAAATTGAATTCGTGCACATTAGCTTTGCGTCCCAATCCTTTCTATTACATGTGTTCGTTTCCCTTCAATCAATTCCAACAATCTTATTTGCAGTGTCGGTGAACGTTGTTTGACTCTAACCATTATCTATCTAACCCAGACCAGCCTTGGATCGCTTCATTGTCTGCGTCACAGGCTGCATGATGCCTTTGTTATCCGTTGCGCCCAGCGCCGTTCCCATACTCCAACCCATTTTCTCCAACATGGCTCTTCCACGATTCTCAACACCAAGTTCGGGTGCTGCGCCGCCGACAACTTCACCATCCTGGTATGTGGCAGCTGCGACAGAGGTCCCGCCGCGAACCGGCGGCAGTCGCTTGCCTTTCTTACCTTTTTTATCTAGACGTGGGAGATATTTCCGATTGACACGGTTAAAGGCCTGGTCGAATGTTGCTTCAACAAAAGGGAGTGTGCGTCCAGTTCGATATAGCGTCGGTCTTCGTTGGTCACCTTTACCTATCGACTTGGACTTGATCTTGAACTTGTTCGCCAGCTCGTGTATTATTTTGCGAGCATGGTTGTCCATCGGGGGCAAGATGAGCCTGGTAAGTGTAAGTCAGCTGTATGGGCTTTGCTAGGGTGGAAGGGAACTAACTGGTCGTCGCCACTGATCATAAATGTTCGCATTTCATCTCCAACTTGTTCCATATTCATTCCATCTGGATATTTGACGCGAAGATCATCGGGATTGGCCTTTTTGCCCAGCATGCCGAGGGCACGCATCTCCTCTCTCTGTCTCTTGCGCTCCGACTTCTTAAGGCGATCGGTCTTCCAGCTCGCTTGAAGCGTTGCTTCCAGTTCGGAATCAGATAGATTGAAGTTGATTTGAGCTCTTGCTCCCTTGCCCTTGCGTGTGCGCAGACTGGGACGATCCCAGTCCATCACGTCGAAGTCGTCAACGAGCATTTGTTGCGCTTTTGCCTTCTTGGTGGACTCATCGAATTCCGAATCTGAGTCACTCAGAGAATCTCCAAAATTTACATCATCCATCCCAAGGTCATAGCCCAACTCGTGGCCAGCAATCAATCTAGCCAGTGTCTCATCGTCAATCTCGCTGGGCATGTCGTCTTTGTTCGCGGCTTCGAGATCCTCCTCTGACTCTGCGTCCGACTCATCCCCGTCGGGTTCGTTCTGGTCGTCGTCGTTGGCGTCGAACGGTGTAGACATCTCGCTATCATCATCAGATACCATCCCCCCTTGAATCAATTCTTTAAAGTACTCGTCCACATCAGTGTTCTCTTTCAGATTCGCAATGTAGTCGGCAAGGATGGCATCCTCTTCTTCTTTCACGCGATCGACTTCTTTGCGCTTCTCACGCTCCTTCTGCTTCTTTTCCTTCTTCGTAGCCCTCTTATTCCGCGCTGGTTCTGTGGGTAGCTCGGGTGCTGGCGATGGTGCCAATGGTATAGGCTCGGTGGTGATAGCTTGTTCAACGACTCGAATTTCTGCTTGCATCTGCATCATGTTGATAACAGGTTCAGGTGCAGGCTGTGGTACAGGCTCAGGCTTTCTTGGGGCGCCTCGACCCTTGAAAAGTATAACCTCGTCGCTCGAGGTGCTGCTTCTCGAGGAAGGTCGGTCGGGTATCTCCACGGTTGGTTTACCTCCTCTCTCCTGTGACTGATCCCCTTTCAGATCGAAGAAAAAACATGGCGCATCAGGTGTGTCATCTTTGGGGATGTCTTTTGTTTGGAGTGCTTCCTCTAGATCATCTGGTCCTATGAACTCATCCTCTCCGCTTCCATCGGCGTCCTCTTGCTCGCTGTAGGCGTCGGCTTCTTCTTCGGCTGATTGATTTATCTCGGTCGTTTCTGGCTCTTCGTTCCCTTCGTCGATGATGTCCTCGAGCAACTTCAGCGGTTCACTAGGGCCAGCGCTCACGAATGTGACTGGCCGTAACCGCAAGCTAGAATTTCCCCAAGCTGAGTGATCATGTTGCGAGGTCGAGCGGGCTTCGTCGGCGAGTGTAAATCCAACTGCGGCGTGTCAACTCTGCTTAATTCAATCATGTACGTCCGGCCCGGCGATGCGCTTTGCTTCGGCAACTCGACATCTCAATAGATCTTACCACTCTCGTCTCTGATAAAATTGACTCGCGGTGGCGTAGATGAATAATTTCCACGACCGCGAAAAGATCCTCTTCCCCCACGACCTCCTCGGCCGCCCCTGGTGTTCTTTGCGCCACGGGGCGCGGGAGCTCCCTTCTTGTTTCTAGCCATAGTGATTAGGAGAAGGCACGCTTCATGATGCGCAATTGTAACAGCGGGATGGGGCAATCAGTAGTTAATATACAGATAGGTCGAGCGCCCTAAAATTTGGGCTGTTTGATGGACGGGTATCAGTACTGTACAGAGCTTTGTCGATGGCAAACAAGCGAGTCACCCCGCCGTGTACTTTCCTTGCTGCCAGTCTGTGGATTGGTCCGGAAGAAATTCGGTGGAGTTCCGGTTCTATCGATAAGTGTCATGGAAGCCTGGGATAGTGTTGCAGAGAAAAGATGTGGCGTTGCATGCCCGTGTTTGGCGGGTCTAATGTTTGAAACTGGACAGGGATTAGCAGGCAGTTGTGGGCTGCGGTACGTATCGTGAATCATCATCACGACGACTTTTGTTGGTATAGGGTGGGAAAGAGCAACAGGACATCAGAAAATCAAGATTCACATTTCTCAACCAATTTTGTGTTAACTGCTTTGAAAGACCGTTTGTTTGATTTGGGATTATCGCTTGAATTTTTCTTTACGTTGTTGGTGATATCTGGATCTTGTATTACTAAATGTTGCTGTTTACTGTTTTTATGCTGTATTCTTCATGAGATTGTTTGAACTTTGGAACGAAATAGCTTACACTTATTCGATCAACCAACTTTTATACAAATTTCTCCGGTACTGCTAAGTATCGCGAAAAACGCGTTATTCTACGTGTAAAGCTATATACAGATTAAGATATTGTCTTGAATGAGCCAATTCCATCTGTGATTGTCTATCAAAACTCGAGCTCAGCTCTCCATCTCATACCGAGATTCTGACGTCGAGGCGTATCACGAGTGGCCCGTGCACCTGTTTCCATATCGCGTGCGTAAGAGTTCCACTCTTATCGCAAAACCCACCTCAGGCGGTCTATCCGTCTCCAAGGGGGTACCAGAAAGGGAAGCTCGGGCATGATAGGATAAGAGATAACTAAGCCACTTCTCCGCCATACAATCCGCTAACTAGACTCATTAATATTAACACCTTGATTATCACTATCGACATTTTTTGTCATCCCAAAGGCCCTCCACTACAGAGTACCTCCGGCTAAGAGTCACAAGCTGCTGGTATCCCCCGCCGTCCGCCGGCCCCAGCTGACTCCCCACTGAACTGCTGCTAGAGGCAGTCAGGACCCTGTTGCCCATCTGCCCGCGTCCCGTAGGCTGCCTTAGGTTAACTGTCTGCTGCCTCTCAACCTCAAAGTTGCCTCTTTGTTGAGGAACTATTACCGCCTGTATATCCTGTACACATGTCATTTCGGTTACATCCATCCAAATAAATAGATTCGCAGATGGTAGTTTGATATATTGCAACTGCCTGTCAACATGGAAAGAGCCATGGCCAACGTTGACCTAGGACCTTATCGACGAATCGTGCAAATGTTCTGGGACCCTGAGCCTACCAACGATGTCGCCCACGATCAACCAGTCTGGTGTTTAGGACGCTCCTATCGGATCAGCGATAAGAAGAGCCCCAAAGACGATGACCACGAGCCACAAACTCCTCCATCGGCGCCAAAGGTGGAAGCTGACGCTGAAGTGGAAGCCGAAGCTCAAGCTCAACAAGGTCCCGAGATAGCTCGACCGCCCAACCCACCAACAAATGCACCCGCCACGCCTCCAGACTCGACATCGAGCAGCTTCTCATCATCACTAGCATACGATGACCCGGCAAACGATGGAGGATGGCCATACGGCTTTATAAACGACTTCGAATCCAAGATATGGATGACGTACCGATCCGAGTTCGAGCCCATACCCCGATCAACGAACCCACAAGCTGCATCTGCATTGTCGTTATCCATGAGACTTAAATCCCAACTTGGAGACCAGAGTCCGTTTTCTTCGGATAGTGGATGGGGATGTATGATACGATCAGGACAAAGTTTACTTGCAAACGCCATAGCCATGGTTCGCTTAGGCAGAGGTAAGTTCACGTACCGACCACATAGTTCTGTCGCATGGCTAACATATAAAAGATTGGCGCAGGGGAGAATCAATAGAAGAAGAATGTCGTATACTCAAAGACTTCGCAGACGACCCGAGAGCCCCCTACTCTATCCATAGCTTCGTTCGGCATGGCGCCAGCGCTTGTGGTAAATATCCTGGCGAGTGGTTCGGGCCCTCAGCGACCGCCCGCTGTATACAGTATGGAAATCATCTACCCACCAGCATCGCCAATGTGAAACTGACAGATATGCTTACAGGGCATTGACCAACTCCCATGAATCCTCAATCAGAGTCTACTCCACGGGTGAAGGACCTGATGTTTACGAGGACGAATTTATGAAGATTGCGAAACCGTCAGGCGAAGATTTCCACCCCACGCTTGTGTTAGTAGGAACTCGACTGGGAATTGATAAAATCACACATGTATATTGGGAAGCTCTTATTGCAGCTCTTCAGATGCCGCAATCTGTAGGAATCGCAGGGCAAGTACTACCCTCCCATCACACGTATCCAATGTATTGACAAGGCGCAGCGGTCGTCCATCTTCGTCCCACTACTTCATCGGCGCGCAAGGATCTTTCCTCTTCTATCTTGACCCTCACCATACACGGCCAGCTCTGCCATACCACGAAGATCCCGCTGAATATACAAGCGAAGAGATCGATTCATGCCACACCCCTCGGCTGCGTCGCATCCATGTCCGTGAGATGGACCCAAGCATGCTGATAGGGTTCCTGATCCAGAATGAAGGTGACTGGCAGGAGTTGAAGCGAAGAGTTAAGCATGTGCAAGGCAAGTCAATCATACACATAGCCGAGCGAAACGCAGTTCTCGGAGGCTCAAGCGAGGGCCGGGAAAGCGCCATTGATGAAGTTGAAACGTTGAGCGATGATGATGATGCGGATACCATTCATGAGGCATAGGGTTGGGTTGGGTATAGGGCTCGGCGTTTTGGTATATTTGTATGCAGCCGGTTTTACTGGACAGGTAGGCTTGTGTCCTTGGTATAGACGATGAAATTGACCTGAACGAATTTTCTTATGAAGTTCCATCTTCCCTCGACGCATCGATGTGGGTTTAGGGGTGTCCCGTCCGGCGGTTGTAGCTCGAATCGGTGCATTCGTATTGCGCGGTAGATGATAGCATACGGCACGTATCTCATCCGTGCGAGATCGTTCATCGTTTCTTCTTCTTACCACCACCAGTTACTGGTTTTAGTTCAGCATGTCCTTCGTCACGGATGTGCGCGAACATCTTGGTCCTGGAAGTAAATGACTCCCCACAAACTCCGCACACCGGCTGGGATATTTGTGAGTATATAGCAATGAATTTGTAGCAGAATCAACGTACTGTAGCTTCCTGCTGTGTTTTTGCAGCTGCGGCCTTCTTGTCACGCTTCGCCTTCGCTTTTCCAACCTTCCTGCCTTGCGCTGGTTCGTCGACAGATAAATCTTGAACAGATGCAGACAAATCGTCTTCATTATTCAAGTTATCCTCCAACTCGAACTTATTGGCAGAAGCTATTCTCTCTGCGACAACGTCTCTTGGTGCATAGTCGGTGTCGTCTGAAGCGTCCGCAGAATCCGCAGGTGTTGACTCGTACGAAACATTTTCTGAGGGCGGCGCAGCCTCATTAACAGGGGAAGCTTTGGTTGAGGCAGCATCTTGCGTACTATTCTCGTGTTCGACGTCTTCGTTCTGATCGACCTTGCCTGCGGCCTTTTGACTGGGTGATGATATCTCGTCAAGTTGCAACTCGGCACCTTCGCGCTTCATTTGTCGCCGCAATTGCTGGACGGCTTTGATATGCTTCTTACTCTTCTCGTGTGCTTCAAGTTGCTTCTCGCTCTTGAAATTCTTGTTGCACACAACGCACTCCAAAATCTCGACCTCGGATTCCTCCTCAGACTCGGAGAAATCACCTTCTGCTCCATTGTCGTCGGAGCGGGTTTGCGCCCACTCGGGTACCTCGAAAGAAGCCATGCGCTCCTGGTTTGCAGCGCGCGATCGAGCGGCTTGAGCAGCAGCAGCGTTGCGCAGTGAAGCCTGTCGCTCGTCATGTGTTTGAGAGTTGGGAATGTATCGGGGATCGCGCTTTCGTACAAAGCCCACCAAGAAGTTGACAGCATCATTGAATTCTCGTATGGCATCGTCGCGCATCTTCTTATTCTCCTTCTCCATCAAGCGACGCACTCGGCGATCAGGGGCGTCAGAGAGACGATATTTGTCTTTCCAAGCAAATGACTTGACTGTTGAGAAGCCAGCCCATACGGTATAGAAGGGTTTCACAACATCGTCATAGTCGTCATCGGAGGAACCAAAAGTCGGGTAGTCTCGCACGTCGAGGTCGTCGTTGTCGGCAGCAACCTCCTCTTCCAAAGCCAGATGCTCGAAGGTCTCCCTGCAAATTCCGTAGAAGCCTGTTGGTTCGTCGTCGAAGGGTACAGCGGCGTTGAACTTGCGAATCAAGCTCATGATCTCCTCGGCGGAGGTGAGTCGCACATTTCGGAAGGTAGTGGGATTTCCGCCGTTGTCTTGGGCATCTTGGCCGCTCAGGATGGCGTCTCGGTGCGAGTCGTACCATGCTCTCTCTTGCGGGTCGGACAGGATCTCGTAAGCGGTCTGTACTTGAGCGAAACGGCGTGTAGCATTTTCGACATCGTTGTAGTTGCGATCGGGATGAAGCTCGAGAGCTTTTCGGCGATAAGCTTTCTTGATTCTGTGGGAGGACTGTCAGTAACAAGAGACAGAACAGAGAGTAGCTCGGTATGGGAAGGGTTACTCGTCATCTGTAGCTGAGCGTTCAACGCTTAGCAGTTCGTAGTAACATGTCTTTGCAGCAGGAGCAGGGCCACCAGCGTTGGAGCTCTCGGAAGATTGTTGGGCGCCCATGGTTACTTGGTAGAGCACCGCGGGGCCGTGAAATATAATATTCACGTAGTTGAGTGGCAGTAATGTATCTGGGACAGTGATTGAAGCTGTGTGGAAGGAGGGGCATCGCGGGGCAAAAATATTTATCTCCGCTATTTTATTTATTTAATGGGCTTGGTCTTCTATTAATTTTCTAGAATTTACAAAAATCATGTAAGCTCATTCGCTGCATCCGAGCGGGTATTTTACCTGTAGTGTGCTTGTACGCCGTATGATTCATAAAGAGTCATTGAAGCAATATCGCTACTCACAGGTTTTGTTGACCGATGTTTATAGTAGCACTACTTGATTTATTTTGGTACAAGTTTAGTTTTGTATGTCTTGTCTTGTCTTGTCTTGTCTTGTCTTGTTGTTGCTTACCTGCCACCATTATTAGTCTACAACTTCAAGGTTCTAATTGGTATGACAAGGATCTCTGTTAGTGGTCACTTTGGGAGTCAGTGCAAGGATATGGATATAAATTCATGACCAACAGCGACTTTCCCTATTCCCTTTAATGCATTATGCAGTTCTTACGCCATTATGAAATGGAACGACACCACCAAATGAACGAGGTTAACTGCGGTGTCAATTATGAAACAAATACCCTCACTTGAGAGAAAAATCTCTGCATTCATCAATGATTTAGTATTTAATATTGTATAGGATAATTCTCATGCGCCAATAACGAAGCGCATATCGCACACGAGGTCGAATGGAATGAACTAGTTGCACGGGTGATCATCGAGCTAAAGAGAGAGCACGGACAGAGTTCGAGATAGCTTCCAGACATACAGTAAGTGGCTTAAGGGTTTTATGACTGTGGTTGTTCTTTAGTTAGACCTGGCTCTCTGGATTCATTACCCTTTGAGGACATTTGCACTTGCATTTGCATTTGCATCACCAACGGAGGTAATTAATCAGTCATCTGACCATTTCTGGCCCGCAGAATGAACCAATAAGAGACCAAAAAAAGAAGCCCCAGTCTCGACTCATCTTTTGTGAATTTCGGGTTCGGTCAGCGAAAATGGACTGACAAGCTGGATACTCGTGTTGTCTGATTCATGCCCATGCCCATGTCCATGCCTCTGTAGTTGAGATGCTCTATCTAACTCTACCATTTGCCGGCACGAGATTGCCGAGAATCCACTCAGGGACATTCTACAGAACAGAAGAAAAAGATGGAAATCGGTACATGATTTGAGTTGCCGATATTTATTGTACGTGGGCGAGTCTGAATCGAGTAAAGTACATACCTGTTACCCTGGGTTGTGTCGAGATCGATCTTTTTTTTTTTTTTTTA